ATATATATATATTTACATGCATAACAGGAATGTAACACCCATTGTTTAAATTTACAGTAAATTATCTGTCTGTTGATCAGACTGAAAGGTCTTTGGTTAAACTGGGCTGCCATCATTTCTGATGTTGTCCAGGTCATGTTGCTGGAACGTGTTTTAGGCCGAGGCAGGTAAAGAAGGCTGTTTTTACAGAACCTGTAAATCAGTCTTTAACAAGATTGGTCCCACAGTGGCTTGATGGTTGCTGGGTAGATGGATGGAGACCTGAGATTTGAGAGAAATGAAGTCAGTCTGAATGTTCAAAAAGGCATAAAATAAGCAAACCGCAAAAAGTCAGCTTTCTAGTATCCAGAAGATATTGATGCAAGTCTTATTTATTTTGCTCATTTTTGATGGTTACTCTCAAACTTATTCATAAAAATGCAGATATATTGTCTTGAAATATTTGCCAAATTGGGCGACACGTTCTATTCCTTTAAAAAAAATCTGTCCTCCATTAAATTCTTTTCTTGAAACATTTTTCAAAGTTTAGCACTTTTTAATTACCGCACAAGTTTAACAAGAATAAATATAACTACAAGTCTGCGTGCCTCAACTTTGCTTTGACTCTAAATGAATTCAAAGAATTTCTATCATTTTTTAAATAGTTTTATTTGTGCGTGGAACTGTATCTCAAGGCCCTAAAAGACCTGCTGAAAAAGACTGCATTTCACAAACATGCATTTCTCAAGGTAATTAATTTGTTTCTAACGGGGAAAAAAAGAAGGAATTTTAACAACATTTCTCATTGTCAAAGTTCATAGTTGGGTACACATAAAAGGAATAATTTTGACATTGCAGTTATAATTATGCAAAGGCCAGGATATGTCTTTACAACGAGCTTTGAATGGTAATTACAGTTTTGGACATTGTGGCCTTAGCTTGTGTGGGCCATTATGGGGTGCACAAAAGTCATTCACAGAATCATTATTGCACCCTCTGAGATAACGGCACAAAAGAACTCCACGTGGAAAATTACATTTGAGACCTCTCATCTGCTATTTCATTACCCTGCTCCGTCTGATGGCTGAAATGGGTTCTCTTAATTTAAGGAGCTGGATTCCAGCTAGGTGAGTGGTTTATGCAATCTCACGGTAAGTGTAATTTCCCATAATTCCATGTCACACGTAGTACTTTGCCTAGCTACCGCATTCATTTTTCACATGGCGTTCCATCTTTATCTGGCATCTTACCAATAAGTCCATTTCTATGGTGTACACCCTGCAAAGACCGAAGTATGCAATTATTTTTAAGTCACAAGTGTTTCCATGGGTGACATTCATTACTTTTGAAAAACATAATTAGTCTCCAGATTCTGAGGCACTAAGAGACCATCTTTATTGACAACTGCCAGGTTATTCACATTTAACACAGCGGAAGCATCTAGTTGACGCAGGTTCTTTGAATCCATTTGATGCAAAGGATTTATTCTGTCGGAGGATTGACTCTTACTTTATTATGTTGGCATTTAGAGAGCAAGTCAACAACGTGTCCGCGTTAGTAAAGAAGTAAACAAATGGCATCCTATCCTACAAATAAAATAATCTAGATCATCAGTAATTGCCACAGAATTTAAGTCATCTTCATAATGTTATGCTTTCCAACTGCCTGGCCTGTTGGGTCAGACACATGTTGCTTTTTGACTCATCAGAATTTTAGGAGACTATTGTTTTAAGCAGTGACAATCACACCAGTAACGTGATGCATTCCTTCTTTATGTATTTTTTCGCTCTCAGACCAAAAGCATCCTGTTTAGGTTAACTGTTTGCCCTATGTTTTAGGACTGAGCATGCGATTGCTTGGTTTTCTGCTTCTGTTTTGGCCCAATGGTGAACTTTTGATCTTTTCAAGGTGTACTCCAACTCTTGCCCAGTTAGAGAATTGCTTCAGACATCGCTTCAAATACTCTGACTGCAGGACAGAGAGCTTCGTGAGGCGAGATGGTCTCTTTTTTTTAACAGTTCAGTGAAAGTTCAGATAACTCCTGCAGTGATTCACACTTCAGATTGTTCACAAAAGCGCAGGAACTTACGCATTGTGCAAAACGTTTAATTGTATTTTTGTTTATTTTTTTAATAAAATTGCCCATTACTATGAACTTTTAGGGGCGGAGATTTTTTTAAGAGCAGAAGTGGAAATGTGATGAGACGACTCTGATGCGATATTAGGAAGCTCTTCATGTTTAAAATGAGTGTTTATGTAATTATTTTCAGTTGGCATATCCAATATAGGTTTTATTTGTTCAAGGCAGTGACATTTGTTCATAACTTCCTGTTCTGATCATAAAAAATGACTTGAGTGTTTTAGATTGCTTGTATATTCATAAACACACCATCCATCCATTATCTTTCCACGCTTCTTTCTTTTCGGGTCACGGGGGTCGATGGTGCCCATGTCCAGCCATCACTGTGTGAGAGGCAGGGGACACCCATGACAGGTCTCCAGTCCATCACAGGGACACATGGAGACAAACAACCATTCGCTCTCTCACTCACACCTAGGAACAATTTAGAGTTACCAATCAGTCTAACATGCATGTTTTTGGTCTGTGGGAGGAAACCGGAGTACCCGGAGAAAACCCACAAATGCACAGAGCGAACATGCAAACTCCACCCAGAAAGGTCCACAGACCGGGATTTGAACTGGGGCTACCTGCTCATTAAGTGGCGGCAGCTCTACCAACTGTGCCACCGTGCTGCCTCATAAGAACACATTAAAATGATGATTATACAAAGTTGTGAGAAATGTTTTAATGATGCCTGTTAAAGTGATTTTTCTTCAGTGTGTGGTTTTCTTGAAATCAATGCCCTCCTTTAGGTTTGGATTTAGCTCTGAAAAAAGACAAAAGTTGTTTTTTTATGAGTACGCGTCACGGCATGATTGGATACAAGCGTTCATCTAGAAAAAAGTTGCAGCTTTTTCGTGGTTGAAATGAGAACGTTTGCCCTCCCTCATCCGTTTCAAGGTTCTGCAGCGTCAGCAGACAGAACACAAAAACGGAATTCAGTAAAAGCTCCTTTGCTCTCTGGGAGTTTTTGTTTTTCCCCCAGCAGCTTGTCCCCCCCGATCAACTGACATGTTTGAAGAAACATATGGTACCATTCCTGCTTCCTGACAGCTTGTCCTGCTTGAATGGGATCTGGCTCGAGCAGGAAGCAGTCATCCGAGAAGACAGAAGATATTAAGAACTAAAAGAGATATCAGAAAAGTGTTCGCAACTAAGATAAACCACGAAAGTCTTTTCCATTCAGCGTTAAAATGAGAATACATTGACACATACGGTAAATAAGAATTTTTTATGCTAACTGGTCTGTTCACTGATATCACAATACCATTACTTATATTGTTCTTTTTTTAAATGCAGGTATTTTACCTGTTCAGCTTCAGTACTGCACATTCAAATGCCTGACGGGGCTCACAGTCCAATAGGCAATCATCTACTTGGCATGTTTAGGTGGAAAAATAAATATAAAGGCTAAATAGCATTTCAGTTTGCACAGCGTGACTCAATTGGAAACAAATATGGTGAAGACAAATGCATTGATCTGAAAACTGCAGCTGAAACAAGTGTGAATAATGCCACCTATAATACCTCCTGACTGTTTGGTCAAATTAGAACTGAACTAGTTTATTGATCCCAAACCACTTGTTACCTAGAGTATGTGCAGAAAATTGCTCAGCGGACATCCTTTTCAGAAAATAACATTCTTTTATGTTTAAGCTCTGCACCTTTATTTTTTTTTACATTGAGTGTCAATAATTTGTCATTTATCCATAATTATTCCAGTCCAATCTGAGGCTTCAAAAATAAGTTTTTTTTTTCTTTCCACAACTATCCACTAAAACCTTGTAGTTTTTATCCTGTAAAGAAAGCAGACGCACGAACAAGAAGCAGAAATCCTTCCTTGCTAGACCTCGTTTGTTGACCCATGTGGCGCTAAAAGAATCGAGGGGGAAACGGTTGCTTGGTCTCAATCTTTGAACAGTTTTCCCTCGGAAAGTATTGATTTATAGCTTCTACATCTGCATTGACCGAAGGTCTACAACAGAAAGTGCATGCATGTTTCCTCTGTTCACCTGCGGTTTAATGTGTTTTCAACTTAATACAGTGTATTAAATGGTTCAAGTGCCTCAAATTTATTTGCTCAGTACAATGTCCATTTCTTAATTTCTTAATGTGCTTTGAAATATAATTTTAGGACAAAATCAGATGTCTAAATAGTCATTTGTGTGACAATTCACAACAGGGCTCCACTATACTTGGAAAATGTGGTTGTAGTACTAGTTGAATTTTGTAATGAGGTTACAAGTTGCAAATAACCCTTAGTTCAGTCTTTACATTGTTCACAACACTCCGTGTGCAGGCTGTGCACATTTAAATGGTGCACCAATTGATTGCTGATTTTTTTTCACATCATTTGTGGAGTCCTTTGAGAAATAGATACTGTGCACGCTGAATTAGGGCTGCAATGTCATCCCTATGTAGCCCTAATTTACAGCAATAAGGTACTTTTTTATCTGCATGTTCACCAGCACTTGTTTTCATCTGGTGCTGCTCTAAAATGTAAATTTTTGTACAATAGAAGTTGTCTTGATATTGTTTCTCTGCGTAGCGTGAGCGTTTGAGTTCTATACATCAACTTGTGATTTAAATCCATCTTAGCCCGTGTTTTGATTTTCACTTTATTTTTAACTAATAGACTATCGCATGTTTTGAAATCTAAAAATCTAGCTCTTTGCTGCTAATCAAGTCACCAACATTCTCAGCAGTGTCCAGCCTCGTTTGGCTGCTCCTGCGTTAGAATGTGCTCTCGGCTAACGGTGTGCACTGGCTGGTAGTCCTGGAAGCAGACCTCTGTTGCTCCATCGTTGTAATGATGATTGGGTCCTGTTTGCTTGTTTGGGAATTTCAGGTCTCTCCCTAGTCTGGTCCAGGCTTCGGCTTGGAGAAACCAACCGCCAAGATTGATCCCAGCAGCTGGAGCGGCAGTGAGAGCCCTGCCGAGGACATGGAGAGGATGAGTGACTCGGCAGATAAGCCTGTGGACAACGATGCTGAAGGGGTCTGGAGTCCTGACATAGAACAGAGCTTCCAAGAAGCCCTGGCCATCTATCCTCCATGTGGCCGAAGGAAGATCATCCTGTCAGATGAGGGAAAGATGTATGGTGAGTAAAGATGGGTGCATTTTTGAGTGTGAGCTTCTAAATCGACTTTTTCTGATCTTTTATTTTATTTAGCTGTTGAAGAGAGTTTTCTTTTATTTTGTCTTTTTAAGGAAATCAACCTTTTCCCCCCTTTCCTGCTGACCACAGTCACATGCTTAGTTGCAAATATTAAGTAAAATGGGGCTTTTACCACAATGATGCACTATATTTTTTGATAAAATGCATTTTATAAATTACTGGGTGATAAAATATGACTGAAAATACACAGTATGACGTCTGTAAATAAGTGACTTCTGCAGTATTATGACTGCTATGAACCATACTGGTTCACATAAGTACAAGTTTATAAGTAAAGCAACATGAACTATTAGTCTGTAACAGATGGCACAGTGGCTGCCACCAGCTGTACCCCTTTCCTTCCTTCACTTCCCCCCGTTCCTGGCTGGGTGATGTCATGGAAAGCGGGACTGTTTTCTTTTTCTGGTGTTGGACTGTCTCACAAGCTGTCAGTCTGAAGTGAAGGCAGAACGTCCCACAGAGCATTAGCCTGCAGCTGTCATGTGACCCTTTCAGCCAAACAAAATGTAAATTTCAGGAGTTGCACGGAAAGCCCTCAGTGGCCACTGCAAAGATGTCGACTCACCCTCCTACTGTCTCCCCCTCCAATTTCTCCAGCCCCCATGGAGTCAGGCTCTCGAGAAATTGGTTCAGTGAAATTGGTACTGCAAGTTAAAGCAAGTGTATATTTGTTTCTAAAATTACAAATGAAAAAGGACTCACTTTTTCTCTGAAGATCATAGTAAGAGTTCTGTCGTTTATTCCTTTGGAAGTTTTTACCTTTAAAAATCATGTTCCGTTCTTTTTGCTTATTTTGCCATAAAACGGAGTCAATTTACCGTCACTCGTCAACTTACACAACTATTTGACATGCCACGATGCAAGTCTTAATCATAACAGATGGTTTTCTTTTAAAAAGATTTAACATCTTTCTGGAAACACTGCAGCTTTAAAATGTATTTTTTGCAGTGAGTGGCAAGGAGGCAGTTGCATGGTTGTGCAGAGGTTTATCCAACCAGATGTGCACCGTATCTGGTTACAAATGTCTCGCCAGTAGCACTAGTGCCCAAATCCAGCAGTCACTGTGGGAGAGGCAGGGGACACCCTGGACAGGTCTCCAGTCCATCACAGGGACATAGAGACAAACAACCATTCATTACCTCTCTCTCACCTAGGGACAATTTAGTTACCAATCAGTCTAACATGCATGTTTTTGGTCTGTGAGAGGAAACCGGAGTACCCAGAAAAAACACGTGGCACGGCGAGAACATGCAAACTCCACCCAGAAAGGGCTAGGGTTTGGACTGGCGACCTTCTTACTGAGAGGCAGCAGCTCTACCAACTGATCCACATTGCCACCCAATACAGTACAGTATATGTGTGGTGGAAAAAATGAACAAATAATGTTCATTTTTTAAAATTTTATGGAAATACAAGTTTCTGAATGTGCTGGTAAGGTGTTACAGGTTCATGTGGGCTTTTTATGAACATTTATTGTTGTTCACATGCACGCACAAGTTCATCTTGTTGTAAAATGGGACAAATCCCCAAATTTAACAACACTGTCTTCAAAATAAAATGAACTAAATTAATGCATCTGCTTGGCAGTGATTTTCAAAGTTGAGTAATTATCAGCAAACAGTATCCTACCTGCTGTAGAAATTACTCGGTCATCACTTCGAAGAACAAGGTGGAAGTTCTTTCAGGGAAGATGAGCTAATGGCTAGTCAGCGAGGGCTTTGTTTTTTTGCCTTAAAACTCCAAATTTAAAAAGATTCCCAAAGCTCACAAAGATACATTTAATTTTTTTTAATCCTTGCATCACTTTTGCATCAGACTGTAATATTTACATAAAGTTTTGTCAGTGTTTAATCTGAAGGTTGGGTCAGTCTGTGGTTTAGTACCAGAAATGGTCCATGTAGAACTATTATTCCAAAACTGAACAATGTAATAAATCATGATCACACTGTACAGTGAGATATTTAACAAGGGGTAAAGAATGTGAACAGTTGCATATATTCATAATAAGCTTTTTAAAAATGCATCATTATTGATCACAATAGCAACATCATAGCACTTTTCAGATTATTGCTTATTGTTGGCTAAACAAATTACAAGTTTCTGGTATATAAAGGTTTGAAACATTTCAGTCTTGTTTGTTATAAACATTTTGATTTAATAAAAACTTTTTTCTTCTTATTATTAGGTATTGCTATAATTCAACTGGAAAAAAATATGGCATATTTAATCGCTCAAATATAAGGACAAGACAGTTTCAGCATCAAATGTTTCAGGTATTCATTTGTTGGGAGTGCTCTCATTTAAATGCCATCAGTATTAAGTTCTCAGTGAATTATTTCTCCAGTCTAGGACATTGATTCTGAACTGCATCTTCACAGTTCAGCAGAAATATTCAGACCCCAAAGAAAACATCTCGTGGCATCTGAGGTGAATGCTGGCAAGAAGAAGACAGGTATTTTATCGCTGAGAGTCTCTGTTCCATACACCGAGCTCATCACAAGAGGAGCTGCCCTGAGTGCCCTTAAGCCCTTTGTTATTCTGGGGTAGAGTGCAGTTAATTAGCAACAGTCTCTATAGCAACTGTGTTGCAGTACAAAACAATTTCTAATTTCTGCTTCTTAGACTATTGTGGTGTTTACCTGAAGGGTATTGAATGTGCCGAGACCAGTGTTGGCTGGCATTGTGCATGTTGTCTGAAGCTAATTGTGGCTGCGTTTGAAGACACTACATCTGCATAGACGGCTTCACCAGCTCTCGTCTTACATTGTATTTGGGAGAATATATTTTTTTAAAGTACAGCAGCATGAGGGCACTGGCCCCTAGCCAAAGGCCCCCCAACTCCACACTTGCATAATTTACCTGCTGTGCAAAGCTGCATTCATTTACCCTAGAAATAGAGTTGATAAGTGAAGCAACACGCTTCTCTCAAATTGTATATTTATTCATCGAGTTATGTATTTGCACTACCCGGCAAGCTAAATATCATTGTCAAATTTGTCTCAGTTACTCTTGTGCAAAAAACAAACTGAATATTATTCTATTCACTGATGAATACATGCATGCTATTACTATAGAACATTTTGTTTGTTTACTATTAGTAGTACTATTTATCAGTACTATATTTGGATCCACATTCATTTTTGCGTTCACGAAGTTTAGGTGTTGTGTTTGCATAAATACATAAATATACTGTATATTCATCATTTAATCCATCTTTCTAAATCTATCTCCAATCCATCTCTCCATATCCATCTTTTCATCTATATAAATGTATATATCTATAGTGCATACATACGCACGTGTGCATACATACATGCGTATGTGTGCGTGTGTATCACTCCGTTTCTTTTGCATGTTCCTCAAACGACATTCACTCCAAACCAGACGGCCTCTGCATGTTTTGCACTTGGACTCAAGGATGCGATACGTTTATCTACACGTCTTTTGATGTAAAGCTTTTCCTATTCGCATTCTGTTGTTTGCTCTGCCATCTCATCAGTGGTCCAGCCCAGACCCCTCCTGTGGGAACTAAGTGGCTCTTGGTTTGCAGAGATGCCAAGGATGAGTTAGATATAATGAGCAGACCTGGCTTGCCCCTGATGGCCCAGCGCTGTGCTCCTCTGGGGCTCGTCTCATCGGGCCAAGCATGCTCTGAAACCGAGCGAGCGGACCTGATCCCCCCTGCCGGGCAGATAATGAGGAATTCTGGGATCAGCTCAGGCTCCTGAGTCACCTGCATTCACTCAAAATAGAGTGTGAGGAACTTCATTGCAGGAGAGACATCACACACCTCCAGAATAATCCCTCATTTGTTCCCTGCCATTGTCAGTGTAAGACTATTGTGTTTTTACACATCACGGTGGTGAAAAAGTCCAATTATTTTATGTCTTTCTTAAAATATGAAACTGTTGAAAGTGTAAATAGTGTTGATGTAGTAACGATGAAGACAAGGTAGAAACCATTGTGAACATTCCAAGTTGTAAGATTACGTTGTGACCAGTGAGATATTTTTCCATTTTAGATCACCACGGGGTCAAGGAAAGGATGTTCGACACAACTTTAGTTCTCTGCTCTTTTATTTTTTGACTTCTCTCTCTTTTTTTAAATTACTATTTCATAATGGATAAACATTTATCGTAAAAAGTCAGATCTGTGAAGGAGGTATTTTTCTAGCTCTATTGATTTTGATAGTTTTCTCCAATTATCTATTATAAAAAGCTGACACAAAAGTGTTTCATATCGTTATTATTATTATTTTAATGAAAACGTATATACATTTTGCCAACCAGTCTTCAGACGATCAGGTACATTCATTGTGATTTGTCTCAAAGTCAGTCACACAAAAATAGGTAAAAAAAAAAAAAATTAGTTATTTTGCAAAATTGAAAAGTCGTTCTGGCAAAAAAAACATTAATATTTTTAGTTTAAATTTTTTTTTTCTAATTTATGGCAAACATCAGAGACCATTAATTTATTCACAAAAATATATACAGTATATTTTCACATTTCAAAAATAAATGATCTTCCTCTCAAAATAAAATGTGTTAAATTGAACGGATGCATTATTCAATATTCAAATGGCATCACATCTGACTTATGTAATCCACTCATTTTCCACGCCTCCTTCAACAAACCTTTTGCAGATGTGCCTTCCCTGCGAGCTGAACTGCAGAGAAGGTGCAAAAATTCTGCTCAGCGTTTGGACACCGTTTAATACGAACACGCTTGAACCAGACCAGTTTGATTTTGATGTATGGGATTTATTTATCCCGCATATTTTATACATTTTAATTATCACAAATTACATATTTTTTGTCCCTGTGAAATATTAGGTAATTAGTCTTCTTGTTGCTGAGCATCAGAATTGAGTTGTGTGTTACTTTATGACACATGTCAAACTCAAGGCCCATGGGCCAAATCTGGCCCATCTTATCTGGCCCCCCAAGATGATGTTTTTAATGTAAATTATTTTTTATTGCTTCTCATTTTACTTAAAAATACAATAAATACTTCACTTATTGTAGACTTTTCAGTTTGATTTTTCAGTATTCTGTAATTTTGATGTTGACCCCAGACAGTGGTGATGGGTATAAGCAACGCTGATGCTGCATTTCCTTTTATATATGAACAAATGGGCTTAAAATGTCTACTTTTCCCTCAATAATAGTCTTTGTTAATAGTTTTATCAAGTATATTTTAATGCTAACGTGTCAGTTTATGAGTTTTAATGTGTTGCATTAGGATAACAGAGTGATCCCTAAGATCTGAAGTGAGTCTCGGTGTGCTTGCAGTGAATGGTTATCCGTCAGGCGGCGGCTCTGTGCCTGTCTGAATCAGGAGCACTCGGGGTGTGTCCCCGCTCTGAGGTCTGTGTGAGGCCCTCTGAGCCAGGCTTCTGGTTTCAGATTGCACGTTCCCAATAGGCTGCTTTTGTTTGACAAAAACACAACGAGACTCCGGTTTCTTAAAGATGCAGTGACACTTTTCGTCCTCTGCTCATGAAAAATGAGGTTTCCTCCTGATTTCATAATATTCCATTGACGAGGCACTTTTGTTTCGATGAGACTGAAACAGATTTTGTTTAATAATGAAATTGGAATGCGAATGCCTCTGTTATTATCTCACCGGAGCACAGGCACTAGACTCCACTGCTGACACAGACTGTCATCTCTTCAGAACAGCAACCCTGGAAACAAAGAAGGTCTGTAGCCATGGCCATACAGGATAAACATAACTAATGCTGTTTTGTGGTCTGATCCTAATTACCCATGTCCATGTCAAAGTCAACATGAGGAATACTGCCCTTCAGATCGTGCAGCAAAGAGCATTTCTCCCAAAAACAAGTTTTAAATTGGCAAACTAAAGCAAAGCCATTAAACTTCTGCGAAGCCTGACAGTCTTTTCTTACATGCCGCCATGACATTTCTACGAGTTAAATGTTAAAGAAAGGATACGCTTGTTTTGTTGTCACTGGTTGTTTTCAGTAACTCTTAACCTATTTTACCCTCCCTGTCTCTTGAAACTGATATTAAACATTAACTTTAAGACGGGACTGTGTGTTCTTGAGTTAATGATCATAAAACAACGTAGAACATGGAAGCCGTCATGTGCAGAGTTTGACTTCTCATTCTTACATATTGTCACAGCCAGCATGTCTGGCTTTGTGCTCAGATGCTGAATTGATCCTGAGAGATTGAAAATATTGATCTGACTCCGTGTCTTACCTTGTTGAGTGAAGGAGGCCAGGGCACCTTCCTGACTGTTAGCACCATGTTCACACGTTGGACTTGCCACAAAGCCAGTTCCTCGGGAGACTCATAATTACAACAGTCCTTTCAGATTAGTCCAGCAGCCTGTCCAACTGTGGCTTCGTTCCCTGGTCCTATATGTCATCTCTTTGCCTCTCCTGGGAGGCAGAGCTCAATACAGCGGCCAGGATAGCCTCTACAGTAATGTATGTGATGATAAACGCAGTGGCTCCTAATTGATAGAGTGATTCACACAAGACCCAGCTGTGCTAATTGGTCCCCTGTGAGTAAACTGTAGTGAGTTGGGACAAGTAGGTTTTAGTCGTGGGCTTGTTTAAGAGGCAGAAAGCTGGGAGGAAGGAAAGCGAATGGGTTGGACCTGCAGAGTGATAAAGAACCCGTCTTCACGTCTGTGTGCAGGCACAGTTCAGCAGAGGTTGGCTGCTGTAATCCCCTCAGTGTCTCCAGGAAGGCTTGGGTTAGTGACCCGCTGCTTTGTGATGTCTTGTAAGATTTTCAGAGAACGCCTCACCTTTAATCCCCCACTGCTCAGCTAACACATTAGCTCAACCGCTCCTGACCCAGCCCCTGTAATAAAGCCTTTTATCTAGCTCGATAAGGTCATTTGAAGTTAAGTATTGATTTCTTTTTGGTGTTCAGAGAAAAATGGATTTTTAAAGAGCTGTTAATTACAGTTGCTCACTGCATTATCCCGAAAACCTAATTTTTGTGACTGTATCTTAAAAGTTTGGGGTGAAAATTTTAAACCAATACTTTGAAGTGTCGAAACCTGTAATGACTATTAGCAGAATTACATTTTATACAAACCTAATTGGATATGCTACATTTTTAATACGCAAATGCTGCAAATTAATTGTTATTAGGGCTGAATGACACGAGAAATGAAGTTACCAAAATGCATATTTAAACTGACAGTGCAAGGAGATCTTAAATTACACAGCCCGTCTAAATGTAGCGGATCAAACGCTCAAAAACATATTTTATTTAAGTCATTTAAGAATTGGCTGCACAGTTTTTGGGGAATGTCGGCTTTAAAATGAAAGTTTGCCGTTCTCACAGAGATGACTTTGTCAGTAAAACTAAACGAGTTGGTTAAAAAAAAAAAATCACTTATACTGAACTGCTGTAACGATGGTATAATAACTCAAAGGTGTTTGGCTAATTAAAAAAAAAGGAAGAGGAGTCCTGATACTCAGCAGTGCTTTGGTGTATGATGATGATATTATTCTCAAATTTACAGAATACAATAGACCTTTCCACACAATGGCTAAATGTTATGGGTGCAAAGATGAGCCTGTCTGTAAGCTCGGATTAGGTGTAACAGCAGCAGGTTGACTTTGAACCCTCGTGCCCATTTGTCCCATCAAAAGTCACACTGAGGCAGGAAGACGGCACCTCAGGCCTGGCATGAGTGTTTTGTGAAAACACAAAGAAAACATCCTTTTTTGCCTCATTCTGTTTTTTGATCAATAATTCTTTAAATTAAATAATTTGCATCTACTTCGTACGGCTTACTTAAACTGCCTCTGTTTTGTTAATTCTGTGACTGGCTGCTTTTTATATTTTTGCTTGTGTAGAAGAGGATTGAACAGATGTTTTTTTTTTTTCTCAAGCTAAAATTGGAGCACCCAGATATGTGTGAAACAAAGTCCGTGTGGGAACTTCTATTTAAATTACAGTATGCTAAAAGCTTCCTATAATTATTGTGTTCTAGTGTAAAATTAACAAGCTAAAAGCCAAAGTGCTATGAAAACACACTGTACCCACTACAGTAAAGTGTTTGTTTCATGTTTTGGACGTGTACTCTCTAGTTACAGAGTAAATAACTGAATGAAACCCATACATGACAGTTTATAAGAGGATGAAGCTAAAGTTAAAAAAATTTTTTCGCACACACAGGCGTCAGGGAATGTTTTCACTTAAGAGTGTGAAGCCCCGTCCATGAAAGACCCTTTGTGGATATACGTTTTTTAAATTTTAGTTTATTTTTTTAATCATTTTAGCCTTGTGTTCACATGCAAACTGTGTTTCAGGAGCCCTTGTTTTTTTTCATAACTGTGTTCCAGAATGAAGAATCATATAGTATCTGGTCATTTGCGGACACTTTATGTTTCGTCCTTAAAAACAAACAAACAAAAAAAATTAATATATTTTTTTGAACCACTGTAATGCCGCTTGATAGTTGATATGTGCTGCTGATCTCATGCTGCTGATTTATTTTATGCTGCTGTATTCATTCATACTCATCTGCTCACACAGACTCATGTTCGAGCTGCTGTTTTGGCACTTTTTTTTTTTTTTTTACTATTATTAGTGTATTAATATCTTGGATCTTACTGTTTTTCTTTACAATTTATACTTTTGTTGGATGTAACTGACTGTGTACACAATTTCGTTCCACCTCATGCACCACATGTGATGCGAATGACAAAAATTTTAGGTCAAGGTTCTTTATTGACTCATAAAACATACGTTAGTTATTTGTGGTTTAATCTTGTAAAATCAATAATCCCAGGTTGACAAGTTGTCTTTGACGGTTCAGGCTAACATAATCTAAATGGATATCATGCAAACGCTTATCCTGGTTCTGCTGGAGGTTTCTTCCTGTTAAAAGGGAGTTTTTCCTTTCCACTGTCTCCTTTGTGCTTGCTCAGGATGAGACACTTTGACGAAGTGAAGCTTCAACACAGTCTGCTGATTCCTTAGATAACTTTCACTTATTGGCATTTATGATGTTTGTGAATGTTTCTGTTCATTGCCCTGAGACGACTTCTGTTGTGACTTGGATTTATAGAAATAAACTGAGTTGAATTAATGTCCCGTCGAAACAGTCTACCTTTGTTTTCTTTTGTAATCAGAAGTAAGAGCTTCACTTCGGCAAGCAGTGGTTTCCCATTGAGATTTCTTGCTGTTCCCCAAACCTGGAGCGAATGCCTTTGTATTGTTGGTTTAGTGTATTGTAATGCCAATTCCTGTCTGTGACCCTTTAAGTCATCTATCACCGATGACAGGAAAGCAGGGGCCGTTGTGACGGCCAACTACACCATGCACGTACAATCACATGCACACACAAAACAAAGGCAACTTGATGGAGATCTACATAACCAACACTACCTTTTGGATCTCAGCTATCATGTTAAAGAAGGTTCACTGTTTGACAAAAGAACACACTGGTTCAGATTCAGTCTTCAGTATTTGGGGACACAATCTGTCATAATAATGAGAAAGTATATCAGGTCTCTCTTGCAAATGAGTCCTCGGGGCTCAATGGGATTTACCTGTCTAAATAAAGGTTGAATGAAAAGTATAGCCTGCACAAACTTTTTAAAACTGCTGTTTTGCGTCCTAAATTATTCTCTTACAAAAAATGTTAACTGTGAAACATGTTGCTGTCTTGAGCTGTAGGCTATATTCTGTTGGTATTGCCAACCAAGGCTGTAGGATCAAGTCGCTTTTTACTGGTACCATTTTAATAAGTTTCTGATTTAAAGTACTAAATAAAAAGTAAATATCATAACATCACTATGTCTGTACTTCAACTCTGTCAAAGCTGACGCAGGAAACGTCCAGTAGAAGCCACACATGCAGGCAGAGCGCTGGCTGATTCTGGGCCAAGCCCGGCGTTGTTTCATGGCAGAGTGCTGGGCCAGATGTGACTGCGGTTCTGCCTGCGTTACATGGAAATAAAAGGCTGTTACAGGAAATGGATGAAAGGCGGGAAAAGGAAGCGGAGCATTTAACAATTGTTCTTACAGCTCAAAGGACGAAGAGAAGCCAGTTGAATAGCTTAATATGCTATTACTTAAATTAGCACCAGTATTTATGTCATGCTCAGTTATAAAGGCTTCCATTCTGAATTTAATGAGAAGCTTTTGTGTTTAAAATACCAACGGAGATTCATCACTACCTCACTGAAATGTCCAATTCACAATTAAAATTAATATTAGAAACAAATGTTATTCTACCTAAAGAAACATAAAGTAGTTGAGCTTCATCTCGCATGAGTTGGGCAGCACGGTTGCTCAGTTGGTAGAACTGCTGCCTTTCAGCAAGAAGGTCGCAGGATCGAATCCCAGCCAGGGACCTTTCTGGGTGGAGTTTGCATGTTCTCTCCGTGCTGCGTGGGTTTTCTCCGGGTACTCCAGTTTCCTCCCACAGACCAAAACATGCATGTTAGACTGACTGGTAACTAAATTGTCCCTAGGTGAGAGAGAGAGTGAATGGTTGTTTGTCTCGTTTGTTTCTGTGTCCCTGTGATGGACTGGAGACATGTCCAGGTGTCCCTGTGATGGACTGGAGACCTGTCCAGGTGTCCCTGTGATGGACTGGAGACATGTCCAGGTGTCCTTGTGATGGACTGGAGACATGTCCAGGTGTTCCTGTGATGGACTGGAGACCTGTCCAGGTGTTCCTGTGATGGACTGGAGACCTTTCCAGGTGTCCCTCACCTCTCGCACAGTGATGGACTGGGGACATGTCCAGGTGTTCCTGTGATGGACTGGAGACATGTCCAGGTGTTCCTGTGATGGACTGGAGACCTGTCCAGGTGTTCCTGTGATGGACTGGAGACCTGTCCAGGTGTCCCTCACCTCTCGCACAGTGATGGACTGGAGACATGTCCAGGTGTTCCTGTGATGGATTGGAGACATGTCCAGGTGTTCCTGTGATGCACTGGAGACATGTCCAGGTGTTCCTGTGATGGACTGGAGACATGTCCAGGTGTCCCTCACCTCTCGCACAGTGATGGACTGGAGACATGTCCAGGTGTTCCTGTGATGGACTGGAGACATGTCCAGGTGTTCCTGTGATGGACTGGAGACATGGGCACCGGTGACCCAAAAAGGAAGAAATGGGTAAAAGAATGGATGGATGATCTTAACTTTGTATTTCTCATTCTAAAAATTCTTTCAATTTAAAGAAATCTTTATTCTTCAGCTTATGACTCATTTGAGCGTCTCACATTTCTAAAGAACATATTTTACAAACATCATTCACTTAAATAAAAAATAAAAAAAGTTTTGCAGAAATGTTTCCAGTGGAAATACAGTAAAGTTAACAAAAAGGTGAATTTTGTGATAAAAGTCATATTATGCCATCTGCTGTTAAAAACAAAGGTGCTCAGGTTTACTGCATGTCCAGACTGTCACTTTTTACTTTGTTAAAAACACATAAAGGTTTATTGCCTATAGGAAACACCAGAAGGTTGGAAATGGAAATAGAAATTTCACAATTTCTCGCACAGGTCTGGTTCCCAGGGAGGCTCTTCTGACATCGACAAGGTGAAAATGTTTCTGCAAGAAATAAAAAACAACAATAAGCCCTTAAGTGCATGTAACAGCTCTTAACATTTGAACTGTCGAGTGCTTGAAAACCCTTGAAGAAATTAAGAGTACAAAAACACGCCTACACTAAAGAGTATCTTTATTAGTCGCTAAGATGATTCCAATCTTTGTCCCTCTGGTTTTTCATGGAGGTGGAAATAAAGAATGGCTGTGCTTACTGTGGACCATTTTTAACTTGGTTTCATTATTAGCACTTATATAAACTTGTCTTTTGAGTGGCTCCAAAATATCAGTAATAATTGAGGTGACACAAATCCCCAGTTTCAAAGAGATAGTTTGGTAGATGTTCTGGAATAGGTTTACTTGCTTGTATTTGCATAAAAATTACCTGAAAGTTGGTGTATTGTTTGTTGATTTGTGTAACATATTGCATGATTTGAGTTTCTTATAAGAGTTTATGATATTAGAATACAATGTCAGTATAAACAAGTCTTAGAGCTGTCATTTCTAACCCGGCTCGGCCCAACCTGGATTAGGACCAGGCCATAATAATGTGCGGGCAGGACCACTGTCAATTCAATTCAGTTTATTTATATAGTGCCAAATCACAACAAAGTTGTCTCAGGGCACTTTACAGGAACATTCACATACATAAAGACAATTAATAAAGTTCTCTATCTAAGGAATCCAGCAGACAAGTTGAATCTTGGCTTCATTGCAGTCTCCATCCTGAGCAAGCACAGTGGCAACAGTGGAAAGGAAAAACTCAATTCCCTTTTAAAAGGAAGAAACCACCAGCAGAACCAGGCTCAGGACAAGCGGCCATCTGCTTTGACCGGCTGGTTTGAGAGGACAGGAAGGAGAGACAGACGAACGGTCCAGGTCCAGGTATAGGTCCAGGTGCACCTGAAAGACAAAAAGCACATGTTAAGGATAGAAAAAATAATTACAAATACAAAACAGGTTGAGCAGAGTAAGTAAAGACAGCAGCAGAGTGAAAATTGTGGTCAGTTTGTCCTCCAGCAGTCTAAGCCTATAGCAGCACAACTAAGGGACAGCTTAGGAAACCCAAGTCAACACTAACTATAGGATTTAGCAAAAAGGAAAGTCTTAAGCCTAGTTTTAAAACTGGACAATGTGTCAGCCTCACGGACAGAAATTGGAAGTTGGTTCCACAAGAGAGGAGCCTGATAACTGAAAGCTCTGCCTCCCATTCTGCTTTTGGAAACTCTAGGAACCACAAGTAAACCTGCAGTCTGAGAGCAAAGTGCTCTGTTAGGAAAATATGGAACAATAAGATCTGTAATATAAGATGGAGCCAAGTTGTTGAGAGCTTTGTAGGTTAGAAGTAAGATTTTGAATTCTATTCTGGATTTGACCGGGAGCCAATGGAGAGAAGCTAAAACTGGAGAGATATGATCTCTCCCAGTAACTCCAGGTAAGACTGGCAGCAGCATTTTGGATCAACTGAAAACATTTTAAAAAGTATTTGGACATCCAGATAATAAACCATTGCAATAGTCCAGTCTAGACGTGACAAATGCATGGACCAGTTTTTCTGCATCATTTTTAGATCAGATGTTTCTAATGTTAGTGATATTACGCAGGTGGAAGAAGGAGGTTCTAGTAATATTTTTAATGTGGGGGATAAAAGACATGGCCTGATCAAAAATAACACCAAGATTTTTAACATTAGAGCTGGAGGACAGATTAATGCATCTAAGGAGGGAGAAAGACTGAAAAAATTCATTCCTAAGGTGCTCAGGTCCAAAAACCAAAACCTCAGTCTTGTCTGTGTTCAACAGGAGAAAATTAAGGGTCATCCAGGTTTTTATGTCTTTAAGACATGCTTGTAGTCTAAGTAGCTGATTGGATTCATTGGGTTTAATGGACAAACATAATTTTGTGTCATCAGCATAACAATGAAAATGTATCCCATGCTGTTTAATAACTTTACCTAATGGAAGCATATATAAAGTAAAGAATATTGGCACTGAGCCCTGAGGAACTCCATGACTAACTTTGGTGTATAAAGAAGATTTATTATTTACATTTACAAACTGGAATCTATCAGATAGATATGATTTAAACCACTTTAGTGCCGTTCCTGTAATCCCAACATCATATTCAAGCCTCTGTAGTAAAATATTGTGATCAACTGTATCAAATGCAGCACTGAGGTCCAACAGGACCAGTAGAGACACAAGTCCATTGTCTGAGGCCATGAGAATATTATTAGTGACTTTTACTAGTGCTGTTTCTGTGCTATGATGAGCTCTAAACCCTGACTGAAACTCTTCAAACAGATTATTTCTTTGTAGATGTTCACGCAACTGACCTGCAACTATTTTCTCTAGAATTTTTTAGATGAAAGTTAGATTAGATATAGGTCTATAATTGGCCAGAATTTCTGAATCAAGATCAGACTTTTTAAGTAAAGGTTTAATTACAGCAACCTTAAAGCTCTGTGGTACATAACCATCTATTAAAAACAAATTAAGTAGGTCCAAAATGTGGACATTAATTAGTGGAAATACCTCTTTAAACAGTCTGGTTGGGATGGGATCTAGCAGGCATGTGGATGGTTTGGATGAGGTTATTATTTTTGACAATTCAGAGCTCAACAGGACAAAAACTGTCCAAACATAAATCAGGCTCTAGTGAAATTTTTAAAGTTGCCTCATTTGACAGGGGACTAGAGATAGTAGAAGGAAGGATGGTTGAATTTTCTCTCTAATTGAAATAATTTTATTTACAAAGAATCTCATGAAGTCATCACTGCTTATAGTTGTAGGGATACATGGTTCAACAGAAATGGGACTTTTAATTAGTCTAGCAATAGTACTAAACAGAAACCTAGGGTTATTTTTATTCTCTTCTATTAAAGATGAGTAATATAAAGTTCTAGCTTTACGGAGAGCTTTTTTATATGTTAGCAGACTATCTTTCCAAGTTAAATAAAATTCTTCAACATTAGTAGAGCGCCATTTTCTCTCCTGGTTTCTAGATGCTGCTTTAAAGTACGTAACTCAGAATTGAACCAAGGAGCCAGTTTCCTCTGATTGATTACTTTCTTTTTCAGTGGAGCAATTTTATTAAGTGAAGTTTGCATTGAAGTTGTAAGATGATCAACTAGATGATCTAAGTCTCTGTTCTCTGATGCATTACTCTGCAAGACAGAGGAAAACATTGATGGAAGAGATTGTTTCAATTTGGTTGCAGCATTTTCTGATAAGCACCTGCTGAGATGAAATTTACTCTCACTGTGTAGTCATTTAATGTAAACTCAAAGGTTATTAAAAAATGGTCGGACAGAATAGGATTTTGAGGAACTATTACCAAGTCCTTAATCTCTATACCATAGGTCAGGACTAAATCAAGAGTGTGATGATAAGAATGAGTAGATGTGCGGACGTTTTGGGTAAAATCAAATGAGTCTGTTAAATTATTAAAGGCTATGCTTAAGCTATCACTTTCAACATCTACATGAATATTGAAATCACCCATTATGATGATTTTATCAGTATTTAATAATAAGTCAGTTAAGAATTCTGAGAATTCAGACAAAAACTGAGAGTAAGCGCCTGGTGGACGATATATAACAACTAGTAAAAGTGGCTTTTCTGATTTCCATTTTGGATGAGAAACACTGAGGGACAGCGATTCAAAAGCATCATAACTAATAACTGGTTTGGCATTAATCAATAATCCTGACTGAAAAATAGAAGCTACTCCTCCACCTCGGCCAGTTGTTCTAGGAACATGAAAATTTAAAATAATTAACAGGAGTGGCTTCATTTATATTAACAAAATCCTCCTGTTGTAGCCAAGTTTCTGTCAGACAGAATAAATCAATATGATGATCGGTTATCAGTTCATTAACTAACAGGGATTTAGAGGAAAGAGATCTGATGTTCAATAATCCACATTTAATGATTTTATGATTTTGCTCTGGTAAAGTAACTGTGTTAATTTTAATCAGATTTTTATGGTTTATATTTTTAGAGCTGATTTTTGGTTTATTTAATTTGAGCCGTGGGCGAGTTGACACTGTTTCAATGTGGGTGTGGGTGGGTAACAGAGGAGAAGCAGCAGAGAGGTGTGGAGGACTACAACTCTGCTTCCTGGACTGGACCCTGGGTTGTCAATAATTTGGGGGATAAACAAAATCAGCCATATTTCTAGAAAGAAGAGCGGCTCCGTCCAAAGTGGGATGGATGCCATCTCTCCACATCAGACCAGGTTTTCCCCAGAAAGAGCTCCAGTTATCTATGTAGCCCACGTCGTTGTCAGAACACCACTTGGACACCCAGCAGTTAAACAATGACATACAGCTAAACATGTCATCGCTGGTCAGGTTGGGGAGGGGGCCGGAGAAAACTGCGGAGTCCGACATGGTTTTAGCAAAGTCACACACCAAAGCAACATTAATTTTAGTGACCTCCGATTGGCATAACCGGGTGTCATTACCGCCGACGTGAATAACAATCTTACTGTATGTTCTGCTTCTTAGTGGGTGTGTCACTGAGCGAGGAAAATCGATTAGAAACGTGAATGGGTCGGTGGTGAACTGGGGGCTTAGCCTTAGCACTACGCTTGCTCCGGACCGTCACCCAGCCGGTCTGGGGTCCCGGCTGCTCGGGGTCTGCTGGAGGACCGCTAATGGGAGCTAGCTTCTGTGGTTCTGCGCTGTCTAAGGGGACATGGCTAGCTACTGGTTTTACAGCGTGGAGCCGAGCTTCCAGTTCAGACAGCCTCTCCTCCAAAGCTACCATAAGACTACGTATCGGGCTTTTGATTGCGTCAGTGGGCGTGCGTAGCCGACGATCCATTTATATCATGGGCGGCTGTGGCTGAGTGGTTAGAGCAGTCGTCCTCCAATGCAAGAGTTGGGGGTTCAAATCCACCTGCAGTCACATGCTGAAGTGTCCCTGGGCAAGACACTGAACCCGTCATAGTTTCTTATGTGTGTCCCATCAGTGTATGAATGTGATCTAAAGCACTGATTAGTCTCATTAGAATGATTTGTTCAATTAGCTTTGTAGAGATCTAGTAGAGTGCTGTATGAATGGGTAAATGAGGACACTGATTGTAGTGTAAAGTGTTTTGAGTATCTTGAAATAAGATAGAAAGGCGCTATATAAGTACAGTCCATTTACCATTTATATGGCAACATGGCTTGCCATACTCACCAGTCGCACGTGGCCATTTGACCGTGCGCTGACTGGCCTTGAAAGAGGTAAAAAAATCAAAAAAAAAATCAGTTAAGCTTCAGATGGGACTATACTGCCAGGCAGCGATCCATCCAAAACCTAAATGGATAATCATTCAGCCGCTGCACTCAGCAGACGCGCACGGCCAACAACCAAAAGAGGTTAGATCCCAAAATATCTGACATGTCAGAGCAGGGTCCGTGTCTGAATAATGCAGAATGCAGGCAGAAGCAGGGATTTATTACGCTTTGACAGCCATGAAAGGACAAACACCACCTCAGCTGTGATCTTCTGCCCCCTTTTACTCGGCCACATGCGTCCGCCGACCATTAAACTACATAAGCCGTCAAATATCTGGTTCGGACCTGTAACTACTGTTCGTCAGGTTGGGTGAGGTTCGGAAATGATGGCTACGGGCTGGGTCCGGGTCCGGGTCGGATTTTTGGGCCCAAATGCAACTCTTAACAAGTTTTATTATAATTCAGTTACTTTATGAGCTGTGAAATTATTGTTTAATATTTGTTCAGATTTCATTTGGCTGCTTTTCTTTAATTTATGGGCCTTTTTATAATAATTGGTGACTCTAAATTGTCCCTTTAGGTGAGTGAATAGTTGTTGGTCTCGCTTGTCTCTGTGTCCCTGTGTTGGACTGGAGACCTGTCCAGGGTGTCCCCCCTTCTCGCACAATGACTGCTGGATATGGACACCAGTGACCCCCACGACCCAAAAAAGGAAGAAGTGGTTAAAGATGGATGGATTAATGGAACACAAAACAAAAAGGCTGACGTGGCAGCAAAAACGTACATGAAAAACCTGAATGGTGGAACATGACGGCTGTGGAAAGCACAATCCACAGACAAGGTACAAACAAAATGAGACATAAAGGGTATTTTAATGATAGACAATGATAAACACCTGGGGAGAGACGATGAGGATCAGGTGAGAGTGGGAGGAGCAGGAGCTGACTACATGAGGAAAACACAAGGGGAACTGATTCAAAGAAAACTAAATACAACTTTAGAATTTGCATTTCCTGTGAAAATGCAAGTGTGAATGTATCTTGCTTACGGATGTCAAGAAAACAGTTGAAAAATAGCTTAAATAGCAGAAAGAAACTTCAAATATCAGAAAGAAGCAGAACGTGCATAATCGTTCCTAATGTAATGGACTACCAGGCTGCTGCTGATATAAACTCTTGATCTGACAGTTCTATGTGTTTGGATTTGCTCTCAGCTACCACTATACCAAATTTCATCTGAATAGCTCTAAAAATGCCAGTTGTTAAATTTTTTTCCTTTTTAGCTAAGGCGGCCATCTTGGATTTTTGATTTGGATGTAGTATGTGATAGTGAACGTTCTCAGCTATAACCTCACAAAATTTCATTATTAGTCTTATGAAGTTGAATTTTCTATTTACATCTCCAATTAGTTTGTGGATAGCCATCCATCCATTCATCCATTATCTTTACCCGCTTCTTCCTTTTCTAGTCACGGGGGTCGCTGGTGCTCATATCCAGCATTCACTGTGCAAGGCGACACCTGGACAGGTCTCCAGTCCATCACAGAGACAAAAGAGACAAACAACCATTCACCCTGTCACTCACAACTAGAGACAATTAGGTCCATTATTTCCATCAGCCGTTGGTTGTCAGCAAGCTTCGACGTTTCTTATATTTTGTCCCTAAATGCGCATATTCATCCTTGGTAAGTGTGGAGCTTAAGGTTGGCTTTTGTTCACGTATTTCAAAAGTATTGTGGGTTATTTTTTTATATGTTATTTATGCATTTGGATAGTTTTTTAATATTACTGATATACGTTCGTCAAAAGACGGTGGTATTACGGTATAGTCTCTGTCCATAAACTCTCTCCACCTGGCCATAACATCTGATCCGCTCAAGATAATCTAATGACATGTGACATTGTTAATAGACGGAGGGTCACGGACACTTTTCATCACCCCAGCTCCAAGGTCAATTGATGTCAAAGTTAAAACAAGGTCTTTGCTTGTCTGGGCCATAACTCTGCACCAAGGTCAAGGTCAGATTGTTTTTGGTTTCCAGACCATAAAGCCTAATTTGGTTCAGCCTATTACTGGTTCATGTATTTTTTTATGTATAGACTGGACGATTGCAACGGTTTATTATCTGGGTGTCCAAATACTTGTTTAAATCGTCTTCAGTTAATCCAAATGCTGCTGCCAGAGACTTTTTTCCTCCCAGGCTCTGATCGAGGTGGCAGCTTTTTTTTTCCTCCCCCGTTTTTCCTTCCTCCTGCTCTGCTCTCTGTCTGTCTGAAGCACCTGGGTCTCATCTCCCGAACATAAATTAAGAAGATTATGGATTTGGTATCGTGGGCGTTCAACTCTATTGACAAGATTTTTTCATCAAAGCGACAAGGTCCTGGAGAACCGGCGTGTCCAGCTGAGACTCACACTGTGGGGTACGTCATGGATTCGTGGGGAGTGTGGCAGATGATGTGTCTCAGTCCTGTCTCAGGAGGATGTTGAAGACGTTTACATATTTGGAATTATGATAGCAGGGACTCTGCTTTTTGGCATCGGCGAGGCTCTGTTTTATCGACTTTTGAAGAAGACATTGGCAGCAGTTTCGGCCATGGAAAAGCTTCTGAGTCAGCGTGAAGGTCTGGTCCTCGCTGTGGGAACTTTAAATCGTCTGGTTTACGAGCTTAATCGTAAGGTGGAGGCGATTGAGAATCGCAGGCCAACTGCAGCTTCTGGGACTCGTCAGCGTGGTGGGTTCGATCTTGATGAGACTCATAGCGTGGATCAGTGGAATGGAATCCCACAGTTAGGCATTTTCGGAACCAGAACGCCCAGATGGACTCAAGGCTGAAGAAAAAAGTAATCTGTCTGCCTGAAGAAAAAAAACAAGACTCAAGCTTATCTGAATCTGACTCCCAATGGCCTCGGAGACAGGCCGACTATCAATTTCTCCTGGGACATGAGTACCCAAGGACAAA